AAATACTCCCAATATTTCACATCTCCTATGCCATGATAATAATGATGGAATAGAATTTTATAATAATAATGATATTAGTCTGAATAGAAGAAGACGTTAATAAACTTCATTCAAAAATATTTGTATGGACGTTAAATATTTCAGCTCTTCATGCAATTACATATTATCATGATGGAGGCAAACAGTAGTAAAGAAAAGATTTAAGTAATTTTACAGGTATTACCGACCATTATAACAATCATGTTAATAATTCATCATTAATATCACGATCCTTATAACCTCCTCGAACAGAATTCTTGTTCATTCATCAGAAAAATATGCTTGGACGTCATCAAACTAACAAGCAACAGGGCGATCTAGCTCAAGGGACCAACCAATTTGGACAGTGGTATCTTTCCAAGAACCCAATAACGACTTCCAGGCTCTATATTCGATTTCCTTGTCTAAAAATCATTTATAATTGTACGTGCAGTCCTAAAAAAAAGTTGTATCAAAACATTAGTAATCCGACTGTTAAATATTGACTTGTGAGTTATTAGTTAATCATTGATCATGAACTTACAGTATGCATTCTCTTTTTTTTCAGAAAACACGATTTTTCCAACTTTCAATTCGTCATATGCTGAAATCAAGTGCGTTTGTATTAGAACCATTCTTGAAGTAATTTCAAGAACAATATGGGAAAAACTATAAAAAAAGAAAATGAAAAGATTAAGACCATTGATTTAACAAATAGTAGCGTCAATACCAAGACCATGATATAGCTCTGGGACCAATCATGCGTCTAAGCATCATAACAATAGGTAACAAATAGTAGTGTCAATACCAAGACCATGATATAGTTCTGGGACCAATCAGTGTGTCTAGGCATCACGACAATAGGCCATCACCGCCATCACGACAATAGGCGATTTATAGGCCATTACCACCATCACAACAATATGTAACAAATAGTAGTGTCAATACCAAGACCATAATATAGTTCTGAGACCAGACCATGATATAGCTCTGGGACCAATCAATGTGTCTAGGCATCACGACAATAGATAACAAATAAAAACCATGGTCATAGCTGCAGAGGATTAAGGTTTCGTTGATTCATTACTTAAGAAAAAGTGCCGAGTAGTTTGTGTTTTGTCATTACAAGATAAAACGAAAGTCGCGGAACATTCAAGAGCCGAGCATACCGCTCCAATTGAAATGCCAATTCCAAAACAACGTTCTCACGGGAGTTTATCCGAAAGAAAATTTTGTATTAGCCTGTGATCATTGTATCATTTGTGTGATGGTTTAATTGAAAAAAACATGAGGCGTATAAATATAATAGAAATAGATGTCATATCATAACAAATTAATATAATTTTAGTTAAATTTAAACTTTTATTGAATTATAATTTTACTAATATAATCACACTTTTCACAATATAAATCACCTAGTAAGAATATTTATTAAGCACTTCACCTCAAAATTAGATGATTCATTTTACCATAGAATTTTCATAAGCTGGTATTAATTTTTCGAGAAGCAACTTCCAGGCGCTATGTTCAATTTGTTGTCTGAAAAATCAGAAAATAATACTAGGAAATTAATAAACGAGGCCCAACTTTCTCCAAGAATTTTTTCTTGGAATTGTCAAGATACACTGAATAGGTTTATAATATCATAGAATAGTTAACACACAAATTTCGATATTCACAGTATACACTTACGAAAAATTTATAAATAAAGTCGAGATTAGTATTTTTTATGTTCTTTGCGGAAATAATAGTACTTATAGATATTAGTCGCACAAATGATCATCTAGTATGATGATAAAAAAATGAAAAAGATAAAACAATGTAAAAATAAAATAAATAAAAATATAAGGTAAAAATAAAATAAAAAAATGAACAAAAAAATAATAAAGAAAATGATATCAAATATGTATGTTCCGCGGCACCCCTATAAGAAGACAATTTTCATAGAATACTGTATGTAGTTTTAACTTACCATGATGACAGAGAAAATTCGACAAAGTAGCTTGTTAAAAGGAAACGTTATGATTTTATTTTTTTTTTTCTAACGTAAATTTTTTATGAAATCTGAAACTCAAAGGAAGGCCTACATATACTTTTTTTTGTAACACAAACTAATACAATTACGCGTATTCCCTTACGCGTATTCCATTAGTACTGTACTTTGGAGATTAGAGCCACTGTTCTCAAGTATCTTCTTCAAGTATCACAATCAATAACGGGATCAATAGAATTATAAGCTTGAGCAAATCAGGCATTAAATCGTGTATAAATCACTTATTCGGCACTTCGAACCGAATAACTAACGCTACCTAAAGGTAGCTTGGAATCAATATAACAGTTATTCGGCACTTCCGAATAACGATTAAATATTGAAAAAAATCTTGCTGAACTCATCTTTGTTACGTAAAAATAAAACCAGGAAAAAGGAAACCGTTTAAGTCCTTCGCGTTGAAGTGTAATGCCATATTTCAGGGGCCCGTTTTTGTCCCTACTCCCTACGGTAAAATAGTCCTTTCAGACAATAATTAGAAACTCTTCGAACTTCGGATATTTTTTTGATCACTCGATTGAGGAGATGTTTTTGGGCGTATCGACGTATCGTGTCTTTCCTCCACAATCTTTTATATTTAGATGATATTTTTTTAAAAAAACAAACGTATTTTATTTCTTTTTTCGACGTTAGTTTGTTTTGAATCTTTAAATCAGAAATTTTTTATGATCTGCCGGTAGTCGGGTTTGGTTAAGGATAAAATAATGATACGATAAATAGGGAAGAAACAAATATTTATGTAAACAACAAATTCTTTTTAAAAATAGATTTACATTATATGAAAAAGATTTTATTCATATATTGTAAAGTTATTCACAGTTTACACAAAAAGAAAAAAATATTACTTTTACATATATTTCACTTGTAAAAGTTTCACACGAAAGAATTAATACCTAATTCGTTTGGTAATATACAATTGAGTATAGTATTTTTTTCTAAGCCCATGCTCATTGCTCAATAGTCATGGCACCATATAATATTCAAATAATTGTTCCTTTCTTACTTCTTTTTGTCTAGTGATAAAAAGAAGGTACAATTAGTAGAAATAAACAGTAAAGACCAAAAAAAACAACTGTATTTAATTAATTTAATTCTATAAATATATCTATTTTAGAAAAGTTCAAGAAGCCAAGATAAAAATTAAAAATTAGCAATAAAGAGTAATACAGTTTATTACAGTATATTAAATATAAAAATATTATAATTTCACGAACGTTAAACGGTTTTCTTTTTGCGAAAATTTTTCTTTCTATATCTATTAAGCAACTTAGCTTTTTATTTGAGATCAGTTTAATAAAATTTTCTTAAAAAAAATGAAAATAAATAAATAATTGCAGTGAAATAGGGATTTTTTTTTTTTTGAAGACGAAACACAAATGATCAGCAAACATGTGATATTTATCCAATTATAATCTAAGTGATTAAATCACATGATATAAAATATACAAGAACTTTTTAAAATTCAAAGTCCGATTAAATCAAAATCGTCAAGAAAAATTCGCGAGAAATTTCCTTAATACTGCTTAAATTAAGTCCGATTAAATAAATTATATAAAATTGTCAACGAAATTTTTCCTTAATACTGCTTAAATTTAAAGTTCAAAGTCAGATTTATAAATTACATCAAGAAAAATTCGCTTAATACTACTGTTTAATTTTATGTTTATTAACTAGAAATATGATAAAAAAAAAATAAAATAAACTAAGATTCGTAACGTTTATTATCGGGGACTTTGTCCTCATGATAATACTAATGTATATTATTTTATTATGAATTAAGATTTTATGCAGCATTTTAAAAGTATTACCAAGACTTTAGAATAATATAATTGTATTAGCTCATAAAATGCTTCTATAAGGATCAAGTCTACTAAATGGATCACCAAGTAGAAGTCATGCCGTGATTTTGATGATTTAAGTCGGAGCTCCTGTATTCTCATATGGACTTTTATACTCTGATGTGACAGCACAGTCATACATTGGAATACCTTAGATGAATTTAATGATATATACGACTTTTGATCGTCTCCCAGATACAATTCTAGGAAAGTTAGATTGCTAGAAACCAAGGATGATCAAAAAAAGGAAATAGTTCAATAATCTTTTTCCATTAAGAATTGGAGGAATACTTAACATTGCTAACTAATATCACTATCACACTGATAAGCTACTAGAATGAACTTAGCCACTTATTAAAAATTCAATTCTTGATTAATACCATCAATTGCACACAAAGAATTATTTACTAAAAGCTGTTGTGTTTGCATCTTTTTTATTCAATGGTGGCTTTATAACATTATAATCGACCGAGTTTACCATTGGTCCCTATTCTTTGATTATCTAAAAAAGAATAAATAATAAACTTATCTTGTGTACATATTTAAGTGCAAATTACCATACTAGATACAGTCACACTGGACAAATAAAATATTCTATGCAGTAAAGTTATTACTAAGAAGTCACGAACGAATTACAAGATACGAGAAATGTGAAAGATATAATAACAATATACAAACATAAAAAATCAAACATCAAAAAAAATGATTTATGCAAAGCTTTATTGATTCTTTCAAATATGGTAACAAAACTTACAAAGAGAAAACGAAGTGATGAATTGATGATGCGAGACGAACAAATTAAAATCATGATAATCATTTTCACATGATTATCACAATAAACATTTCGTTTAAGTGTTACCACATTTAGTTAATGATTTTTGAATGATTTGAAAGATCAACGAGTTTCCTAAATAGGCAAATTTTTATTTGAGATTACCTTTTTTAAATATATATGAAAGTAAACATTCAAATTTTTTGATTAGTGTAACAAGGCTAGAAAAGTTTCATTCATTAAATAAATATTTAACATGAATTTTTAGATGAATTATTTTTTTCAAAAAAAAAAATCCATTTTTAAGTTTTAAAATTTAACCATGCAATATAATTTAACAGAAGAAAAAATCAAAATTATCCAATCTCTTGGAAAACTTCTTAAAAATGGAACAGATCATAATGTTATTATTCACATCGGAGAATATTCTAATTCTAAAAAATTTCTTGCTCATACTGCTATCTTACGCTATAGATCAGATTATTTTAACAAAATACTTTCCGAAAAAAACATCAAGAAAGAAGGCGGAAAATATATAATTAAGAAACCAAATATTACACCTCAAGCATTTGAGGTCATACTTGAGTAAGTAACTACTAGATATTTTAAAGAAAAAAATCTTTTCTCATATAAATATACTAAAAAAAAAAATTTCCTTCTCAAATAGGTACCTTTATATTGGTGAAATTAATATCACTAACAAAACTGGAACCGAGCTTTTAAATATTATGTTTGCTTCTAAAGATCTAAAGTTAGAAGAATTAGCTGAATTTATCAAGGAATTTATCATTAATCATCATCATCTCCTTTTACAAAATGATCCTGTCGGAATTCTTCAAATCGTTAATGATAACAATACTTTTATAAAGATAAAAGAATTTTGTATAGAAAAAATTTGTTCTGAACCAGAGATTCTCTTCAAATCTGATAAATTTACTCAATTATCTGCCTCTTTATTGGAAATTATTTTGAAACGCAATGACTTGAATTTAGATGAAATTGAAATTTGGGATAATTTAATAAAATGGGGATCAGCACAAGAAGATCGAGAGATCAAAAATTTCTTCAAATTTATAAGATTTTATGATATATCTTCTGAAGATTATATAATGAAAGTTAAAGAATATTTACCAGAAGAATTAAGAGCAGATCTTTTAAGATTTTATATGATTCCTGGACATGAACCAGAATGTAAAACTTTACCAAGGCGTATTGTTGATTCTGTTATAATTAATCGAAAACATGTAGAAGTTTTTGCAGATTGGATTGATAAAAAAAATAGTTGGAATGTTGAAAATAATAACGGTACCATTAATTATAAATTTAATCTTCTTTATAGAGGTAGCAGAGATGGTAATACAATCGCTGAAGTCCGTAAAAAATGCAACAATAAAGGAGCTACTATAATCGTAATAAAAATTAAGGATTCCGAACAAGTAGTTGGAGGTTATAGTCCTATTGGATGGGATTCAAGTGATACTTATAAATCCTCGGCAAACAGTTTTATATTTACAATTCCAAACAGAAAGAACATTCAAACCGCAAAATTAGTTTATGGTTATGATGATCCATATTCCATATTATGTCGTCATTTCGCAATATTTGGTTATAATGATTATAATCGTAATTGGAATGTTAATAATCCATTTTCTTCTCCTAAATTTGACGGTATACCAAAAGGAAATCTTTATATGGATGATTATGAAATTATTCAAGTTGTCGAGAAAACTAGTGTTTCAAAGAATAATCTTGAAAACACTAGTCTTATCAAGAGTACTGTTGAAAATTTTGGTACCACCATGAAAAATATAGAATATACTAGTAAAAAAAGCAATCAAAAAAGCATTTTGAAAAGATTAATATGCGGGAAATCTTAACACGTCACACTCTTTCTTTGGTAAAAAAATTGCAATTCATTTAACCCGGCATTTTGCGTGAATAAAAATAATAAAAATACATATATTCATTGATAGCACCATGAAAAGATTATATTGGGATTTGGGAGGCTAAGCAAATGTTAAGAGGCCGTAGTTATTTATCAATTTTTTTTGGAAAATAACTAAAATTAAACCGGATCCCAGGAATAATCATATTGTGCACAGAGTTAGGTTTTGGGTATTTAGGAGCTGTCAATGATTCATCCTGTCTCCCGTTACTATTTAGTGTAAAAATGAAATTTGTCGACATTTATAATCTCACAATAAAGAGGGGAGAGTTCCCCGGTAAAAATTAGTAAAATTCATATTTTTTTTAAGAAAAGAAAATATATAAGTTAACATTCTCTCTATTTCCTTAAGAAAAATTGCGATCATTACAATTTCTTTTTAATGTATTTATTATAGTATCAAATTGATAAATTTAATATAATTAATAAAATAAAAATTTTTTATCTAATTATAATTTAAATCGATTTCTTCAAATCAACGTTGAATTTTTTTGAGAAGCTATTTGGATTTTAAAATAGATTTATTCATTACATAATCGAAATCATCATCGCCCCCGCTTTCTCTTCCTCTTGTTCGTCTCGCATGCGCTCTTAAGCGGTCGGGACTGGCATTTACTTTTATATAGCCCCGGAAAAATATCTAAGGCAAGTGATATTGCGTATTCGATCGAATTTACAAAGAAGGCTTTAGACCCAAACTCAGAAGAATACCAGTCATTGCGTAAGAGTGTGAGAAAGGTTTTGGGCATAATTGTGGGTTTGTTAAAGGATAGAGCGTGTGCGGAGGAAGAACCTGATAGGAAGAGAGCTAGGATAGAGGGGTATCGTTTGAAAAAATAGGATGTATATTAGCATAGACGTCATGTATCACGGGCTCCCGATCCTTTGTATTTATTTTTCGCATGTATTAATAAAAAATTTTTCATAACTACCGCATGATATCATGGCATCTTGACTTGAGATTACATGTACTGTAGATCCGTTGACAAGAAAAGAGCTTCGGTAAAAAATATTCAGGTGGATGTCTTCCGACGTGATTTTTGATCGTGAAGATTCTTCACGGTTGCAAAGCTAACTTCTGTTCGTTTTTCTTGAATGTATGAAAGTGAGAGAACCTTGTAGTTAACAATATTAGCGATAGCTGTAGAAATTCACCGTAAATGTAGGAGCAAAGAAATAATATCATGCTGGGACTCGCATTAAATAGCCTAGGATCCCGCGTAGTCCCTCTCTCCTTGATAGCATTATACATTTCGCTTGCTTCTCTACCACTTTTATTACTTTTATTTATAACTAGGTAATGGTGACCATTAAACGTCCGAAGCGGGCGTCACGCTGCACGTTTTTCGATAAATAGTTTAATAAAATAATTTAACATAATTATAAATCAAATACCGAAATTAAATAATTTGTAATTTTAGACTATTTGTAATAATAAATAAAATTTCGTTAAGATTTAATCATTGAAATTAATCGCTTTTCTTCAGATAATCTCTCTTGTAATCTCTTACATTTTTTAATGCGTTGTAGTCATTCAAACGAAAATGACTTAAAAAGTACATCATTAAGAGCACGGTCCCACAATTTTCGTTAACGAAAATAAATTACACAAGATATCATTTATTATGTTTTTTCGTTTATTATTAATGAATCTTAAATAACATGAAGAAATAGTTTTAAAACAACTAAATTTATTATATACTTAAACTAAAGTTTAATAAAGTCTAATTCGCTAATAGTATCGAAATTAATAAATTTTATATATTGTCACGTGTATATAAGTCACGTGTGAGACAGACAAACATAACATTGCATGCTTTTGCGTAGAATGTAAAAGTCTTCCGCCCCGCTTCGGACAATAAAAGTTTCTTAATTGGGCTTTAATTTTTTCAATTATTTGTTATACAAATTATATTACATTTCGTGAGTGATTGTGAAGTTTAAATATATAAAAAAATTTTACACAGACAGATTTGTATTGTATTTTTGCTAAGAAAACCTGAAATACGCGTTTCTAGTTTTATAAATGTCTAATTTATCTCTCTTGCTCTTTAAGAATTTTCTTTTTTATCTTTTTAAATCGTTTCAAGGCTTTCTTAGCAGACGGCCTTGCAAATCACTCCAGATGTCAACTTCTCCGCCGTGGTTTTGTTGAAATACTTCTGGAGCATGTTCATCTGGTGTAAGATGATCTGCTGGATTATTTGGGTATCCATCAGCGTCTTTCCAATCAATAATTATCCATTTTGATGGTTCAACAAGAGCACTAGGGAGTCGAATAATATTAGGCCACCGGACGTCCTGATGGTACATGGGTTCGTTATCATGCAAAACCTGTAAAAATTACGGATGAAAATCAGAAATTCTCAGCAAGCATTCATCTGGAAATCATCGCATACTTACCACAAGCATCTCAAGAACACAGATAATAGGCTTCACGCAATTCCTGCTGATCTTTTGGTCTTACACGTAAATGACAGAACAAAATGGTAATGCAAATATAACAATGGTTTCTATTACGCATTCATACCCGCCTTCCTTTTTCTTTCAAGATCTAATGTAGAGATTGGAATCGATTCAATCGAAAATCAAAACCCGAGAATCGATTTAAGAATCGATTAATCGTTTCTCAGTAATTTTACAAAAAAAATATTTTTTAAACATTTTCGTGATGCAACGCTTTCGATGATCCCGGCGGCACAAAATTTTAGGTGGATTTTAACTAAAATACTAAAATAATCTTTATTGTAAAATTTGAAAATTTTTGATTAAAAAGTAAAATGATTTTATTTTTGCACTGAATAAAAAACCCTGAAATTTATTGGCTAAAGTAATTATTATATAAAAAGTCAAAATTTGTTATCATTATAATAAAAAAATATGTATAAATATGCAGTAGACATTTTTGGCCCGCATTATAGAATTATATTTAATTCTGGCCAAAAGATGATCCAGGCCCCTGAACTCGAAATTATCAATTAATAAAAAATTTTTTTTTTTGATTAATTAAACATTAGCCACAATTAACTAATGTTTGATTAAATTCTCAATTGTCTAATTGTCCAATATCCAATTATTATTGGTCAAAAAGCCATCACAATTGTTGAATTTTTTCGATTTTTTTTGTTAATTCTGAGATTTTTTTTTCATTGTGGCGTGGTTATAGAAAGTAGAAACAGCAAGATTATATTTGCTGCGCCAAAATATAAAAATTCGATTTATTTGGATTCGATTTTTAGATTCGATTAATCGATTCTATTAGATACGATTCGATTTTCGATTAAATCGATTTTAGTCCAATCCCTAATCTAATGGTTGTGAAAAAAAAAAAATGATGATAATAAGAAGGCGAATGACAACGAATGATAATTGCAAATTTCTTGTCCGAGAGGTAAAACGTTGGAAGACAATTACCAGTGGGGACTATGAAGATATGAAGGCATTTTGACTTAGGTTTTTTATCATCATCATTAAATATTCTTTAAGTTCATACATAGGTTCCATCTTCGTGCCGAGATTTTTAATCTCATCTTCGGTATAAATTTTATCTTTAAGGCTCTTATAGTCGAGTTTGACTTTCCAAATATTCATTGTGTTCAACCCTTGAAGTTCTTTTTCACGAAGGAGAAGGTTTTAAAGCCTGCAATGGTCAATGGATCAAAGTTGACTTGAACACCATCGATTACAGAGTTTTCGCCAATGCACTTAGTGATAACATCATTAGAAGTTTGTCCTAATACCAAACAGTTTAATGATGATAACATTTTGTTTCTATAAAAGCGATAAGTTCTTTATAAAGGTTTCAAGATAATTTGAGAAAGTTTGAGAGAAGTCTAAGGTATATATATACTTTATATACTTTTCTGGATACATCGTGACTGATAAATGCATAAACTTTTGGTGGCTTGTTTTGTTGTGACGTAATACAGCAAGATTCTCCGACGAATTCTCAGGGTATTTATTAAAAAAGGTGAAGCTGAAAGTATAGGTGCCGTCGGAATTGCCGAATTGAAATTACGGCATTATGAAATATGGATTTTACCATTTTAAATACAGTATCTAACAAAACATCAAGATCAAGCATTATAGATTTACGGATTACAAATTATCTACTCCATAATCAAAAAAAAAAAAATATTTACTTTCTTTGTGTAATTTTTGTATCATATATTTGGCATTAAATAATTACAGCATTACGGCGATTTAATATATTACGGTATAAGCTTCATATGCCGTAATTAATTCCGGCGACAAGTATAGCTAAAAGTTCGAGCCAAAACCGTACCGAACTATCATACATAAGACTCGATGTTGATATTTTGACCGTTTGAGCCTTTGAGGTGACAAACTATTGACCATTTGATCATGGAATAATTAAATTTTGGCCGTTCAAATTAGTCACTCAATCTAGTGCATATCCCTATAAAAAATTTTTTAGAAAATTGATCACATCGGATTTTCCCCAAAAATTTTTTATAGGGTATGAATAGCAAATTACGATAAGAATTACAAGTTCCACCGCCCGTTATAACGACACTATTCAGCTAATTAATAAATTTTTTCTAATTGTCGTTACAATGAGATTTTTTATGTTTATATAACGACATTAAAGGAATCCAAAATGGTATGTCGTTATGGTTACGGTACTTTTCGCTGTCGTTATATAATAATATGTTGTTATAACGAGATGTCATTATAATGGGTGGCACTTGTAGTATATAATTTATTTAATTGAAAATTTTATTATTGCCATGAAAAACACACTAGTTAACCTGAAGGATTTAATTACTTTTTATGTTCGATATTAGTTTGCACAATTACAAAAATTTCGCCAAGCATCAATCTTTTTTAACAAAAGCTAAAGTTTATAGTTAAGCCGTTTTTATCTAGTGTCGATACCAAGCCTTGATATACAGACATTCAGATATTCAATATACCGATATAAGCTATGCGCTGTGAAAATTAATAATCTTTTACAAGACATTTTTCAAACTACTATTATTATTTAATCAAAAAAAAAATGTAAAATAATATAAGATTTCATTTTTGCCACTTTATGAGAGAGCATATAAATATCGGGTATAATTTTGATATAATGATATTTTTCAAAGATTTCATATGGATCTCGACATATCGTTATATCGGAGTTTGATTGTAATTAGATGCCATTTAAAAATATAATATACTTTTATTTGGATTTTAAAAAATTAAAAAAACATTAGCAACTTTACTATTTCACATGGTTACGGTACGTTTCGCCGAGGTCTATTTCGCCGAAACCCATTTCGTCGAGGTCATTTCGTATGAGGGAATTTTCGCCGAAGGGATATTTCGTCGAATGGGCGTTTTGTCGAATAGACATTTCGCCGAATCCTTTTCCCCAAATCGTTCATTTTGTCGAAGGACATTTCGCTGAAAATATTAGTGAATTAACAATAATTCCTTAATCAATACAAAGAAAATAAAAATGTTTCGAAAAATTGATGAGTACAATGAAATTGTTAAATAAAATTAATTTTCCTTTACTGTAATTAAAATAAAATAAACAAGCGCAACTTGTAATGTGTAAATAATTCGTTTGTCTTATAAAAAGAAAAGGAAAACTGAAAAAGTTCATACATATCTTCGTCGAAATGTCCCTTCGCCGAAATGGCTTCGGCGAAATGTCTTTTGGTAAAATGTTCATTCGGTAAATGGGAATGGCACTTCGTTGAAACATCCCTTCGGCGAAATTGCTTCTGCGAAATGGGTTTCGGTGAAATGGACTTCGGCGAAAAGTCCGGATACCATTTCACATCACTACTCAACAAATATCGCAAAATAAAAAAAAAAAATTTGAATTTTTAGTAAAATTATAATTTAAAATATTCTTTGCGGAATTGATGTTTTAGTCATAAAATTTATTTATATAGCAATAGATTCATTCCTTCATTACCTTCATTAACCTACCTAATGAACCTCATTCATTATACATAAATTACACTTATCTGGATATTAAATTCTAAATCAATTACTACAACATTCATTACGAAAATGAAATTTTAAAATTTTGTCATTATATATAATGACTACAGTTCACCCTCTCTATAGCGAATTTTTATATGGTGAATAACTTTGCTATGATGAAGAAAAGTTCAGGTACAGATTTTTTTATATATAATAAAATGATCCTAATTTCTCACTATACCGAATTTTAATCTCCAGCCCATGGGATTCACACTCATTCACTATAGTGAGGGTCCTGCTAAACCATTTAAATCTGCGGGTCACTATTTATAAATCTGAACGATTTTCTATCCGTTCAAACAAACGGATCCAATCTCTACAAAAATAATATAAAGTATATTTAATATTCTAAAGCATTAAATAAAAAATTGTTATAAAAAAAAATCACAAATAATATAAGACCAGTGGTGTGAAATATACGTCAAATAAAAAATATTATATTACGAATCGGCCAAAATTAAGAATTGGCCACAGGCCCAGCCACAGCTAATTTCCGATGGTTAATTTTGGCCATTCGACATTGCAAATCCAAAAAATTATATGGCCGCAGCCAAATACCAAGACCATTTTCAAAGTAGCAATTGAACTTGACTCTCAAGAAAAAATGTGCGAAATAACTTTCCCTTCCGGTTTGATCAGCAGCTTTACAACAATACATCAACACACATATTTAATAACAAAGCCGGAATAATATCGAATGCTACAGTACATATAATCGTTGTTAAAAACTACACCATTAAATTGGAAAATAAATTGAACAAACTTTTATATTTTAAATATTTTTAATCGATAAGAACAAATTATTGAGTATATTTTGTTAGAAATTACATTTAGCGATAAATAATAATATGACTGATCACGTGATTATTAAACAAATCACTACTAGCTAACCGAAACCTGATAGAAACATGATTTTTAAGTTTATATTTATTCATAACAAATTGAACAGGTCCTATTAGTTTCTATCCTTTGTAACAACAATATGAAAAGATTGAATTCAAAATTTAGGAATTGAGGAAGTGGTTGAAAATGTATAAGAATAATTTAATTTTTAAAACTGATATTAATAATCTGTATCACCAAACTCAACAAACTCAATCGACTGGTCTTTGATTACGCTAATATAAATTTTAACAATTCATATAGCAACGATATGCTTAAAGCCTAATTTATTGAGGTTGAACAAAATCCGAGGAACCGGAATTTAACCGGATATATCATGGGATCTAGATTCTGAAAATCGAATCACGTAATACAAACTTGATGTTCCCAATCCCGACAAACTGTAATCCCAAAAATTCAAAACTTTCCCGACACTGAATAATTAGTAATCAGAATAAAAAAAATTATATCTTTAAATGCAAAAAAAAAAAAATTTACATTATAAAGCAAAAAACTGAATTTTTTTTTCTAATAAACTCAGAATAAACGTTAAAAATTTGCAAAGTATTATAAATATTAATAAATAAAAAAAAAAAAATATTAATTTTTAATTTTGTGAAATAATTTAAAAATCTTTGCATATTAATAAAAATATTTAATTGTTACTTAATTTTGCGACGTATTAATTAATTTTTACAATAGATATTAACAGTTAATTCTTGCGAAATATTTTAATATTATTACACGTTAATCTAATAAAGTTTCGAGATAATAAGTTTCGGAATTATGAGTTGTCAGGATTGTGAATGTCAGGTTTGTATTGTACCGTGGATTCCGATCGCAGAGATTTTGAATCTTGGAGATTATGTTTTTTGAGGATTGTGGACGTCGATATTGTGGGATTCTCGATCGTCGAGGATTTGTAAACGTCGATATTGTATTATAACGGATTCTCGATCGTCAAGGATTTTGAATCTTGGAGGATTATGATTTGTCAGGACTGTAAACGTGGATATTGTATTATGACAGGATTCTTGATCGTCGAGAATTTTGAATCTTGGGGGATTATGATTTGTCAGGACGATATTGTATTATGACAGGATTCTTGATCGTCGAGGATAACCATATTGTATTATAACGTGAACCATATTGTTGTATTATAACGTGAACTATATATATTGTATTATAACGTGAACGTTGATATTGTGGATTCTGACCGCCGGGATTTTAAATCTTCTTATCGATACCGGGATTTTAAAACTTCGAGATTATCGATATTGTGGATTCTGACCACCACCGGAGATTTTAAATCTTCGGGATCAAACCGTTGATTTGTGAATAATGAAACTCTTTGATTGTCGGAGTTCTCCTAGATAGACTCGAATTCCCTAATGACGCCAACGCTAAAGTCATTCATGTACTTATAAAATAAATGAAAATGATTGGTTTCACTTTTCAGTGCACTTCCATATGATTAACACAAGTGATTTTGTACATTTTTTCACTTCTTTTAAGACTTATACTAAAATGTAATATCAAAATAGAATTTTTAAGGAATCTCCTTTCATTACACACTTCGTAAATAGTAATTGGCGTAATAATTGGCGTATATATATATTATATATATTAATTATTATCAAATCGAGTTTATCTTTTGCAGTTTTTCGTTCCCATATTCGTTTTATAACTTACAATATTCAATGATCTGTCAATTGTTTTATAAATGTAAATAAAAGCATTTTTTTGGATATAAAATGGTGATATCTATTCTCTATCGATCGAACATATATTAGATTAAAACTTTCAAGAATAAACATTATTATTAAAAGAACTAAAAAGGAACTAAAGCTCATTCGGAGATCACCGAAAATTGGATATTTATTATTATTTTATTTTATTTTTTTTTAAGGAAAAAAAAAAAAAAAAAAAATATTTGGTAAAACAATTAAACCCGAGTAATGAACTAATCATTCGAATGATCTATTTTTCTTTTAATAAAATTAAATATAGTTTAGTTCAATAATAATTTTTTTTTTTTATGATCGATGAGCAGTAAATTTTTAGTAATTGTTTAAAAATAACCAAAAATGTAATAATTTTATTGATAACGCTCCTAAACGATGATCGTGGTTTTTATTTACGGTACACATTGTTTATTCATCTGTTCGAATCGAAAATATTATATTTTTATTACGATAACGAATATATAATATCTCGAAATATAACGCAATATACGTAATATACTTATTATACGTAATATACTTATATTATATACGTAATATACATATAATGTGATTAAAATTTATTTAGTATGGTTAATTATCGGGAAAATTCGGTATTTTCCCCAACTTTTCAATTGCAATACTACATTTTTCTTTAAAAGGGGTAATTGGTAATTTGGTATTGTCTAATATACTATTAAGTATGTATTAAAAGTAATGTAATATTATTATAATGTAATAATGTGATAATGTAATAATGTAATATAAAAAAAAAAAATACAATATATAATATTACTTTATATTATATAATACAAGTATATATTATATATACAGTTCTCATTGAGGGGGAGGGCTAATATATCTAATATATATCTAATATATATCTAATATATTATATATATATATATATTTATATATATAATCCAATTTTATCATACAGATTTCCTTCTCCCAACTTCATTTTCGTTTTATGCTATTCGTAAACAAAGTCGCGGAATTTGATTGAGCACAGTATTCCATGATTACGTAATCAAAGTCATTTATTACTACTCGGTGAAAATCGATATACATATATAATTTGTAAACTAAAAATTTTTATACAGTATTACTATAGCTGATCACTAAAATAAGAAATATTCATTTTTATATTCATTTTCCTTTTTATATTTACTTATTTTATATTATTTTATATTATTTTATCTTTTAAGTTTTTTTTTTCAATTTTTAATTTTTTTATTTTAATTTTTTATTTTTAATTTTTTATTTTAATTTTTATATATATTTTTTCTTTATTATAAATGAATATTATAAATTTAATAATCTCATTGTAAAAAATAATTATCGTCATTATTTACAGGACCCATATTTGTACTCTATTTTTTGATTTAAACAGGTATTTGAAAGAGGAAAACCTTGTTTTGACGCAATATACGTAATAAAAAAATTTGATAAGGTATTATGACGAAATCAAAATCACAAGTTCAAGATTAAAAAGTTAGTTGTTATTGTTTATGTGTTTATTGTTATTTTTTTTCATATTTTTTTTTTTTTAAAGTTTATGTTTATGATATATATCAGATATATAAAAAAAATGTTTTATTTTATTATTTTATATTTTGAGCATTTTTGAGCGAAACGTTTTATTTTTTTTTGTAATCATGTTTCAATCAAAATAAGATAAAATTTTGTATGGAGAACCTTTTTTGTAATAATAAAAATAAAATAAAAAAAAAAAAAAGTTTGTAACATTTGAACACAAAATGAACCACTAATTTGGGAGGATAATATTTTATTATGCATCTTTATGTCATTTTAAATAAATAACAGAAAAGATTTTCGATTTTCATGTTATGTTAAATTTATTTTTTATTTAAAAAAAACAATTTCGTAAAGTTAAAAAGAAAAAAAAGAAGGAAAAGGAAAAAAGGAAAAAAAGAATGCAAAAAATGTAAAGAATGAAGCAGTATGAAGTAGTGTACTATCATTTGATATATTTATAATGTGTTTAATATGTTGAATATGTTTGAAATATATATACATTACATAATTACATAATAATTCCAGATAACCTTAATCACTATTTATGAATTACGTTATTATTTTTATTTACAAATTCACAAAAAAAAAAATATTTTATTTTTATTTTATTTTTTTTTTACTTCATAGTCATAAATTTTGCAGAAAAATTTAGGGGTGAAAAAAAAAAAAAGAATTTTTAATTAAAAAATCCAATCACCTATTTATTAATCACGTTGTAATGGAATTTACTTACAATAGCCACAATCGACAAGAATAAATTATACATTTTAATTGGTCAAAGATCGCCATAATTTCGACATGTTGTGTGGCTGATATTGTTTATATTTATAACAGAAAAAGGTAAAAAATAATAGGATGCAAGGCGTTGCATCTTGTAATACAAATATCAAACAGCCGTGTAATCATTAAATTCATTAAAAGTGCTACTAAATTTTTATTACCATTATATTATTATATATGAAAATCTCCAAAAAAAAAAAAAAAAAAAAAAAAAAATTTCATTCAATGATGCTATTTTGAAATCTGTAAATGAATAGATTGATCTTTTGCTTATAAGAAAAAAATTGTTCATATAAATAAAGAGTTCTTAATTTTTTTAAAAAAAAAGAGATAAAATATTACAATCGAAATCGAAAATGAAAATGAATATGAATTTCTTAATGCGATATAAAAAAGAAAAAAAATTAATAAAAAAAAAATTCTTAAAAAATAAGATACAAAGAAAGGAATTATAATAATAATAAGAAAAAAAAGGAATTATATATATAATATTTACATTTGTATTAATAATATTAATAAACATTTTTTTTTTTTTGCATAATACGTATAATAAAAATAATTTTTTTTTCATTTTTATATCTCTGGACTATATAATATATCTTGGATATACCAATCTAAACTACAGATATAAGGTTGATAAGGTTCATAAGGTGGAATAAAGTTAGCTTCTGGACTCTGAGGAGTCATTGGAGTCATTGGAGTCATTGGAGTCATTGGAGTCATTGGAGTCATTGGAGTCATTGGAGTCATTGGAGTCATTGGAGTCATTGGCGTAAGCGGAGTTGTTGGGGTGATTGGAGTTGTTGGAGTTGTTGGAGTTGTTGGAGTTGCTGGAGAACTGCACGAAGGTTTAGGTTCAGTTAAAACAATTTCTTTTTCAATCCTTTTTTTTGAAGTTTTTGAAGTAAACTCAGCATCAGGAAACGCATGTACAAATTGATAAAATACATTCTCACGGACAGTTGGAACGGCAGGCTTGAATGTTGCATTAACTTCATTTTTATTATTTCCTGGAGTTTTGGTTACTTTTCCAATTTGATTTCTTTTACGAGATGAATATTTTGAATTTTTCCATACAACCCTATACGGAACAGACTTTTTACGTTTTTCATTTAATTCAACTTCAACTTGTGCGGCAATTTTTCTGTATTCTTCTTTAACATTTTCTGGTTCGTTTTTCCAGTATGTAGATACTAGTTTGCTGACATCGGTCATTTTAAGATTATGTTTTGAGTTAGAGAGCTGATCTAAAAATGCTTTACGATATATAAGAAACGCGTTTGGACTTTTTGACTTGATTTTGGAAGGTTTACGTCTATTTACAATATCAGTTGCAGTAATTGTTGGTGGGAACGGAAGTTCAATTTTTGCCATTGTGTTTGAAACTTGACATTTGTTTGTAGTTTGACAAGACATTTTTGCCATTTCAATTTTTTGATATTTCATTTGATATATAGAATAGATAGAATAGATAAAAAAGTTTATGAACGAAAAAAAAAAAAGTATATTAATAATAATAAATGTATGTATATATATATATGTATGTATATATATATATATGAACGTTACGAAAAAGTTTTTATATCGTTTGTATTTTTTTTAAAAAAAAAATTAAAAAACAATTATATGTATTTATAAGATATTTTGAGATTGAAAGAACTCAAAATGAGAAGAAGAGATTATTTTTTTGTTTGAGGGTTTATTTATATTAAAAATTTTTTCAGATTTCAAGATATTTATCACCTGCACTAAAAAAAATCATGCATATTATTATAATATGTCAGGAATTTTAACAGGAAATTGTGGGAATATTTTGTAAAAAAAAAAAATAAATTAAAAAATTGATGAATTTATTTAAATATTTATATTATTATATTATATTATTATTATTACTATTATATACATATATATGTATATACANATATATATATATATGAACGTTACGAAAAAGTTTTTATATCGTTTGTATTTTTTTTAAAAAAAAAATTAAAAAACAATTATATGTATTTATAAGATAACATGAAATAACGAATTCAATCGATCCAAAATCAGAAAACAAATTCTATAATTGCTTCATTATTTCGTCTGGGCCTTTTATTTTTATTTTAATTCATTATAATATCATTCCAGATTGATCTTTTTTTTTTTAATTTAATAAAAAAAAGGTTAATGTAACAACAATTCATTATCTAAGTTAGGGACCAGAACCTTTTGTTCCAATACTTTGTTTTTACAGTGTATGCTGTCGATCATTAATATTGATCGTTCCAAATTTGGAAAATAAAATTTTGATCCATTCCCCGACCTTTCATAAATTCTCCAACACGTTGTTGTAATCTATGCATATTTGTGAAACAAAGAAAGTTATTTTTATCTTATGCATATGCATTAAAATGATTTGTTATCTTTAATGCACATGATAATACGATTACGAGTGACGTTGTACTCAGATGCTAGGATAATACAAATAATAATATTTCATCATCTTTTACATATTTTTATTCTGTTTATTTATTTTCTTGATAAAAGTTACTAAAATGGAAGCATGTTCATCCTAATTTAATTTTTTTTTTTGTCCGACTCTGATTGGCCATAAATAAAAAATTTTTAAATCGAAAATAAAAAGAAATAATCGATGTTTATATAATAAAAATGCAGATAACGTAAAAAAATATAACGTAAAGAAATAATAATAATAATTCTTTTTGAATAAATAATTCTTTTGGAAGAAAAATAAAAAAAATATTTCATGCAAAAATTAAATAAAATTAATTTATTATGATACCTATTCATAGTTTTAATAATAATATCAAGTTACAAAGATTATCAACAAAAATATCTTGACGTAAGGTTACCAATTTTGAAACTTTATTCCGTACACAAAAAGTAAAAATAAAATAAAATAAAATAAAATAAAATAAAATTTTTTTTTTTTGTTGTTATTATATCATGTATTGTGTTATCTTATCATGTTATTTATGTTGTTATAAAAAAATATATATATATCAAAACTAAACTAAACAAGGTTTTATTAAACATTCGCGGTTTATATTATTGAAAATCTAGCGCGTTTGCATATTTTATTTTAAAAATACTAAAAATACTAAAATACTAAAAAATCATATTTTATTAAATAATTCTTTTGTATTCTTTTCTTTTGTTGTTCTCGGGTATAACTAAAAAATCTAATTTAGTTTCCATTGTCCTACTATTTTTTTATATTATTCAGCCAAATTTCATTTGTCTGAATTTGTGAATTTTTTCTTTGTTCTCAGAATTTTTTTGAAAATCAAAGAAGGTGAGTAACTTTTCACAATGAAAATAATGAGAATGTAATGAATATCATATGATGCAAAAACTCTAGAACTTTAACTGTTTCATATAAACAATAATATACATATATATATATATATATAGATGAGAGAAATATTATTTGTTTAAAAAAAAAAAAATATTTAAAATATTTTAAAATTATATTGTATACAAAATATATACATAAAACGTTAATGTAATATCTTATCAATAGATGAGATCAAAGTTGACGTTAAAATAATATAATATATTAATTTTTTTTTTGTAAAAGCCTAATGACCAAACTTAGCAGCATATTAAAAAACAGTTTCAAACTCTTTTAATATAATTTATTTTAAATTATCCTCAAATATTTTCATAGAGAACGAATCAAAATTTACGTGTTTATTGTGATTATTGTGATCCCGATTATTAAGTTAGTTACATAATTTTTTTCTTACTCCTATAATCGGAAATTCGTTGTGTTTTATACTAAGTAATTTTTTAGTAAAAACATTCCATATCAAACCATCATATGGCCATTTTTAAGAAAATTGGCGGGGCAAATAAAACAATATTAACGATTTAAATCATTGATCTTTTGTGTGCTAAAAATAAATGACGCGTATCGTTTCAAATTTTTCAAATTAGCGTGATTAGCGTGTATAACGTGTATAAAATTACAAAAAAAATAATATAAATTATTAAAGTACATAAAGAATTAAAAATTGAACTGATTAATCCGCAGCGATCAAATAAACAAAAAAATTAAAAAATTTATTTTGGGAAATTTAAAATCTATCTGAAAAGAAACAGATCTCCGTCTTTCCAATCGATCATGTGATTTTCTGGGGGAAGAAAAAAGATAAAAAAATAAAATGATTATGGTTTATTGAGAAAGATATATATATTTTTTTCTTTGTAAATCTTACTAATTTTAAATTTTATAATTAACTACATATATGTATATATATATATATATATATTGTATATACAGTATTTATATTAAAAGATATATAAAGCAAATTATCGGTTTTTTTTTTAATAAGTTTTTTTTTCCCAAGAAATTCGTTTTCATATCCCAACTATATTGAACGAATTTAAGTTCATAATTGATAAAATTACTATATTCGAGAATAATAGCCATGGTTTCGGGCCGTTTTTCTTCGAATTTTGATCGTAAGTTGTTTATCATTTTAAATTGTTCATCATTTCCACTTTACCACTTTGCCGCTTTTGACCACTAAGAACGTGCAAAGGAATCGACCATAATTGTATAATAATTTCAAATAATTTTTACAGGAGAAATTGTATAAAGAAATCGAATTCGAAAAAAGATCACAAAGATAATATTTTTGAGCATAATTTTCTTTCTGTTGTATTTCTGTATTTCTGAATTTTAGTTAAAGAAAATTATAAGCTCAAAAAAATTTTTTATAAAATTTATAAAAAATTATTTTTTTTTATCATGTTTTCTTTTTTCTTTTAACTCTACATCAATTTTTTCTTTAACTCTACATCAATTTTTTTTGCAATTTCAGCCTAAAAATTCCACCTTCATTTAGTTTATAGTGTAAAGAATAATTAGTAAAAACTGAAACGGTAATGAATGAAGAAGGGGAGGACGAAGGAGAAGAAGGTTTCATGAAATGAAAATTTTTTTTAAAAATAAATTCAAAGATTTTGCTCTTTTTTTATTGTTTTTGTATAATAAAAATATTTTTTATTCAAGCGTACGAATTAAGAAAATTCAATTTCAAAAATGTTAAAAATGTTGATAATAAAAAATATATATAATATTATATAATAATAATAATATAAAAAAAAAAAATTTTTTTTTTTTCAATAAATCTAATTAAGTTCAAAGATAATCGTTGTCTCGGTATTCAAAATCCGATATTATATTTATAGAATTGTTATTACCCTTTTTGTACCCTTTTTGTTAAGATTTAGCCAATCAAATTATTTTTTATAATCATCTTCGACGTAATTTTTTTTTTTGTGCGCGTTCCAAATTAATCACTTATGATTTAATGACGCCTTAATTTCCTTTTAAAAAATCCGTCATTGTTTTTCCTTCTTTACATTTGAAGGGTAGGTAAATCAATTCTTTAATAATTAACAAATTTTTTTTTTTTTTTACGGCCGATAAAGTTTAGGTCACATGGTCTTTATCCCGCAGCGTACACGTGTTCAAAACTATTTTTGTTTATAAACAAATTAACCATATTATCTTAATTTAGCATTTTTAAATAAACATCAAAATTACTGATTCTGCATAATGATACTTCTATTTAATTAAAATGGGAAATGTGGTGGTTTTTCTTTTTTTTAAAATGAAGTCGATCAAAAATGATTGATTGGTTTTTTTGATTTTGAAATTCTTTTTTTTTTTATACAACTGAAAGGAAAAAAAGTATTCAAAAAGTCAAAAAATAAATTAAGATGCATAATTAAGTCATAAAAATCATCGGTTCCCAAAAAAAGTATATTTAAAATTAAAAAAAAAGAGAGAACGAATTCAAATTAGATAAACAAGAATTTAAAATAGCTCAAAAAAAAAAAAAAAATTTTTTTTTTTTTTTTTTTTTTTTTTTTTTTTTTTTTTTTTTTTTTTTTTTTTTTTTTTTTTTTTTTTTTTTTTTTTTTTTTTTTTTTTTTTTGGCCAATCTTAAAATGACAAAGAAAAATACAATATTTTTATTTTTTTTTTCTTTTCGGGTGGTGAAACATTAAATTAATAATTTAATTTTATTATTTTTGTTACTTTTTAAGGGACGAAAAAATACTCGCTGTTTAAAATACTGTAAATTTCTTCTAAAATAAACAAAAGCATTAACGCATTGTAAAAAATATGTAAAACTTGAGAAAAAGGGGAAAATGAACAATTGATGTCACTTATGTAATTTTATCTAAATACGGTTAGATTATGAATATCAAAATTCAAAAATTAGTTGCAGAAATTTTGTTTTGCCGATTTTGCCGTTAATTATTTATCGATGTGGTTCAGTCCGATGACCGATGCAACATACTCAACATACTTATGCAATTGATGTACTTTGATGTGTAAATTCTTTTGTTATAATCAGTTTATTATTATATGCAGCTCACCTTGCATAATTCCATTTAAAGAATTCATCCCTAA